GCCTTGGCGTGGCCTTGTCGCACGAGCTGGGCCTGAGGAATTGCAGGCACATTGGGTACAGTGGGGAGCTCTTCAGGGTCTTCCGCGCTCTGCCTCCTGGGTTCTTGCCAGCTGGGTGTCAACCCTCTAGCTCGGTATTCTTCGCTTGCAGAAGGCCGCTAAGCCATTATTTTCTCCTCCAGCAGGGAGCCCCATTTGTGACAGACCAGCATGCTAGTGGGTTGGTCCAGATGCTCATCGAAGAAACGGTCGTGCCATTTGGGATACTCGACTGGGTCCGAAAGGTGCTTACAATGGCCAGGGTATTGGGTATCAATAAGCGCTTTGTGACTTTTGGGAGTCCTGGTTTCTTCGCGGCACAGCGTGCACCTCCAGTGGCCTTGGAAAAGTACGGATGGGAACCATTAGTCCCAGGGGGTGTTTTGCAGACCATGTGGAGACTCATGGCCCGAGAAAGAGGCGGGAAGACCCCGAGAGGCCTGGGTCGCAGCGGCCCCAGTTGGTGGTGGCAGGCTCTTCACGGGAGCGTCCAGAGCTTTTGGTTTAAGGGGTGGCGATGGCTGGCCACTCACTAAGGGCTTCAACCACATACTTGAGTTATGTCTGAGAAACTTCAATCCAGCTCGAAACTCTGCTTCTCTGCTTCGCTGGGCTGGGTGCCTCGCAGTGCTTCTGCTTTGGCACGGCGGTCGGCAGCATCGCTTCCTTCTACCAGCCGTCTAGCCTCGCTTCTCACAGTCAGATCTTGCGTGGCCTGGCGGCCTCTCACCCTCAGGAAGCTTTGCCCCAAAAGGAAAAGCCCCCACCAGCGATCACCTTAAACCCCGCCCACAGTGCGCGTCTGGAGTAATTATCCGGGCGCAAGCTGGAAGCGTAAGTGCAGGGGGGGATCTTGAGGGAGGGGCTCGCGCAGCCTGTAAGGATCCGTTTCCGAGAAGAGAGTGGCTCTCGCTGCGGCAGTCTGAGGACAGTAGAGCACACGGTGTCGGAGGTCATCGGTCTCGAATTCGCATTTGCATTATACTTGCATGTCGTAGCCTGCCGCCTTCACCCTCGCCGTCGTCCAAATGCTGGTTCAAGAAAGGTAGAAGATGCTACTTCTTCTGCGGCCTGAGGTCCCGGTGAAACATTCAGCCAGTTTTGGCAGCGGCTACATCTAGCACAGCACCCGCATGGCCCAGCTTGTTCGCCGTCTTCGCGGCCAGCTGTGCGTGCCTTTCTGTCTCCATGAGCTCTTGGAGGTTGGCTGGGGAGTGTCCTGGGAGGGTGTACGCGAGTCCTGAAGAGGTCGCAAACTCAAAAGGGCCCTTGACACTGCCACCCTAGACGCTTGAGGGAAAACGCCGCAGCATTGAGGTCCCCAGACAGCCATACAGGAGCCCTGGCACTTCGAGTTTGCTCCATGGTGGAGCAGTTAGTGCCAGCCACTTCCGCACCGGAAGTCGTGGCCGCGATGAGGCCTGTCTGGTAGAGTTGGCGCGTGTTTCCCCTGCCCTGTTTCAGCATCCTGATCCTGCTCATCCGTTTCCTCACATTGCCCACCTTGTCCGTGAGCGTCGTGCCGCCGAGGTATCCTCGGAGTGGCCCGCCAGTTCCCCATTGAGGCTGTCGCAGCTGAATCTTGCAGTCTACGGTGGGACGCAACGTTTGTGATTGTCTATCTCAGACTTGAAATCCTTGACAATGGCGTCAGCACGAGATCTGGTAGTAAGGTTCATCTGTCTGACCACTAGCTTGAAGCTTCTGACGCGCCACCGCAGCAACGGGTCATCGATAAACACAGCGAGGCTGATAGACCTGTGAGCAACGGTCCACTTGTCTAGCAGGGCGAGCACAAACACGTGAAAAAGGCAGGTGGCCCAACTACATCCTGCCTCGACACACTCTGCAATCCAACCCATGCGCTTACTACCGCATTGCGACACAATGGTACGAAGGATACAGGATATGAGTCTTTGTTCTCCGGCTTGGCCAGTTCAGCATTCCCCATTGGTGTGCTCGCCGCAGTTCGATGGATCCCAGGGCACCCGGGCTGGGCCCTGCTCCTTGGCCAGAGAGCCGTCGAACTCACGCTGAAGGGACTGCTTGCACACAAGCTCGACGATGGCCTGGCCCGCCATGCGCGCCAGGTAAGACTTGCGATGGCGATGATGAAGCTCCCACTCTGGCTGCGGACTGTGTCGGTCGCGGCCAGACTCTGTGCGCCGCTGGGTGCATGCCGGCAGAGCGAAAAGAGGGCTGGCCGGCTGGAGCATCATGTTGCTTCAGCTTGATCATCAAAGTCGGCGCCACCCCCTGGAGCTGCCCGGGTATGTGTCCCACCCTTTCAGCGCGGCCGATGAACTAAGAAACCAAATTCGCCGGATCATTGGTAAGCATACCGGAATGCCGAGGGTGGAAAATGTCCCGCGTGGAAGCCGCAGAGTGGGGAAAGTTGCGGGCCAGTTTCCGAAGACGAGATAGGGTGATGCGTTTCTGCGCCACGCGAAACCTGCCAGATTCCAGCAAACCTGGCAGCTTTCAATTTGTGAGCTATGCTGGTGCCGATCCGTGGACTGAGACATTGTAGGAGACGGAGGCAGGTTGCCAGGCTTCCAAGCCTTTCTACCAGCGGTGGGCCCATCCCATCCCATCCCATCCCTCCTGTCGTAGATAATTGGGCCCGGTCCCTCCAAGCCTTGCCTTCAGCAGACTGGTCAGCCCCCTGCTCCTGATGCAACTATTTGGTGCAATGCTCGAGTGGCCCGTTAAGCACCCGCAGCGCCACGTCCAGCTTGAGCGTGCCTGCTGCGAGCAGACGGTCTTCATGCAACAACTCGCAGCTGCTCCAATATCCTGGAGCCGCTCCCTGAAGGACGCTGCGATCCGAATGGCTCTGAGCTATCGTCGAGCCTGTCGAGGTCGTCTTGGACCTCCTGGACGTCCCAGTCCTGCGTCCCAGTCCAGAGCCAACGCTGAGTAGACGCGGTCTAGGACGGCGCTCGGCTGCTATTCGGAAGGGGTCCGGCGGGCATCTTCGACCAGGTGTACGGCGCAATCCACTGCAGCGGCAGTCTGGTGCCAACTCACATCTGGGAGCGCGGCGACAACATGGATTTGTGCGGGGAGCTTCTTGGGCAGAAGGAGCGCGGGGATAGCACAATTACCCACCGCGGTGGGTACATTGCGCCGTTCTGCCAATAATGGCGGAGTTTCCAACTTGGACAATTTGGCAGGCGCCAAATAGAAATCCCCAGCCGCCAGCAAAGGGTGGCCCAGCTTGACCTGAAGGTGGGTGGCCAATCTCAGACAGAAGCTACACTTTCGTTAGAGACAGACCGGCAGCGGTTTGAAAGTAGGCGCTGCAGGGGCCAAACTTTCGAATTCGTAGGACTTCCAGCGGGGCCCCAGACAGCCTAGAGACATCGGTTCCGCAAGGAAGCTCGTAAGGTTGGAATTCAAGGTTCAAGCCGTCCCGAATCAAACTCGCAACCACCGATGCGAGCTCCCCGTTGGGCTTCGCGGCGGCAGGTTTGACGCGGACGTGCCACCCCTGGGCGCAGCGCCATTGAATTTGACAGATGATGCTATCACCTGCAGCTGACCTACATTCCTGACCAAAAAGCAGCGCTACTGAGTGAGCTTGCGGCGACTGCCAAGAACGTTCTGTTGAACTCCACAAGGAGTCGCTGATGATGGCAACGTTCAGTGCGTGCTGCCCTGAGGGTGGAAGAGGAGGAGGAGGAGGAGGAGGAAGAGCAGGAGGATAAAGAGGAGGAGGAGGAGGAGGAGGAGGAGATGGAGGTGGAGGAGGTGGAGGTGTACGAAGAAAAATAACGAGGTGGATGTCGAGGGTGGGAGGAGGAGGGAGGGAAGGAGGGAGATAAAGAGAGAGTTAGAAAGAGAGAGAGAAAGAGAAAGAGAAAGAGAGAAAGGGAGAAGCAGAGGAGGAACACCATCAAGGATCAGAAAGA